CCCGGCCCCGGGCGCCCCGAGAGCGTCCCTGGAAGTGGCCCCTTCTCCGCCATCCGGCCGCCCCCGGGCGGCGCCTGCAAGGACTTTCCCCGTCGCCCCAGGCCCGAGCCTCGCCGGGCTCTCCTGTCAGTCGGGGCGCTCGCCGACGACCCTTTCTTTGCCAGACGCGGCGACGCAAGGAAGCGCTCGGACAGCGCCAAAAGCGCCTGACCCGTGCGGGGCAGGGCAGCCTCTCTTCCCCGAGACCGAGGGGTGGCCCGATCCCGGGATGGGCTCCTCCGACCGGGGCGCGGCCGGAGCGCGGAGGGTCGGCCTGGGCGGGATCGTCTCCGGGTCCAGTGTCCCCCACTGCAGACCGGACGCCCCAGTCCCCGGGCGAAGGTCGCGGGGGCGGCTGAGTCATCGCCCTTCCGCCCGGGGCGGCCTTTCATTCACTCGCTTCGTTTAAAGGGTTTAGTGTCGAGCAGGAAGCGAAGGCGGCTCCTCCCGGGTTCCCAGGGGTGGGGGTGGCGGCAGCCGGGGCCGCTGGAGGCCACTGCCCTCAGGGTAGCCGCCTTCCCCGCCCCCCCCAGCGGGGGTTCCCGAGGTGGCCGGGGTCCCACCACCGGGCAGTGTACGCACAGTGTGAGGTAGGAACACGTGGGCCGTTCTGTTCAAAAAGGAAGAATTTGCACCCGGGACAGCGGAGCCTGAAACTCGCAACTGGAAAGAGCCGCGCGCGGGGCCCTGGGCGACCTCGGACGAGCGCCCTGAGCTCAGAGCCCAGTGCGCGCGCGTCAGGGTCGCGGCGGGGAGTAACAGCACCGCCAGGTCGGACCAGGGGCCTGCGCTAGACTTTCGCCATCAGTATCAGGGGGGCGGCTGCCCAGCGCTCGCTCCTGCGGAGGTGGGGTGCCTGGGAAAGGGGAGTGTCTCCGGCAGGCAGAGCGGGCCAGGGGGGAGATGGCTGTGCCCGACTCTGGACCCAGGGAGGAAGGGGACGCACCAGCACAGGGCCCCTGGGGTGGGACCAGGCACAGGTTGGTGCATGAAGAACAAGATTTCCCTCCCGACTAGACTCCCAGCACCAGGCGGAACAAGGCCTGCCGAGGGCCCAGTCAGGGGAGGGATCCCCCTGCCAGCCAGCCCGAGGTAGCAAAGAGCATTCCTGCACCCCTCCCCGGGCCACTGGGCCGCCAGACCTGCGCTGCCCAAGGAGACCTGGGCCGGTGGCCCCAGGGAGCCTGGCTGGAGGCCTCTGGAATCGGGGTACTGACCGCAGGGGAGGGACAGGGCTCGGTCGTTGCCCTTGAGAGCCTGCAAGATCCAGCGCTCTGCCTGGAACTCCTCCAAAGCCCACCAGAGCCTCGAGGCGTCAGTCACTAGAACCAGAGCATCTTAAGCACCTACTGTGCGCACACTGCCCGGCTGGTGCTTGGACCCCGGGCCACAGCTGTGGGAGTCACAGGAGACGAGGGCATCCAGCCTGAGGGGGCTGTTGCCAGGCCCGGTGGGCTCTCTGCATGCCAACCGTGGCCGCTCCGAGGCAGCCACGTTTAACACTTTTCACAGAAGAAGTGGATGTCCACGAAGAAGCCGGGCTGGGGAAAGGAAGCGGAGAGACGGGAGCGGGGCTGGGAGCCTGTGAAGGCCCGGGGAGGCGTGCTTCTGCAGCTCTGGGCCCCTCCCTCCCCCCACTCAGCTGCCCCAGGGGAGGACCGGGCCACCAATGTGCCCTGTTGAGGGGCGAGGCGCACACAGCCTCATTTCTCCCTCATGGTGACCCCAGGAGGCACTGCTTTCTTGGTTTTGCGGGGTGGGGTGGGGGTGCCTCAGAGAGATTTAAGAAATTCAGCCCAGGTCATGGGGGGGGGGTGTGTGTGAGCTGGGCTGGGCACTGGCAGTGCGCATGGCCGCTGCTCTAGGCCAGGAGGGGCTGCAGACAGCAAGGCGAGCCCAGTTTACTGATTTACAGCTGGGGCCACTTCCAGGACCCCCATCGGTCCCCCAGCCATCCTGACCAGCTGTTTGGGGGGCAGGATGAGGTCTTTGAAACTCCCCGAATG